CCATGCATTTCCTTTCTCTTTTCCTTTTTCTTTTTCTTTTTTTTAATTTTTGTTCTTCATTCTCTCTTTTTCCTCTTCTCTTTTCTTTCAACATCTGGGCATCTCGCTTTGTTTTTTCTTGTCTTTCTTCCCCCTTCTCCCTATCCTTCCTATTTTCTCTTTTACTACCCATCTATTACTTCCTTTGTTTTCCTTACTAATTTTGTTCTTTTTCTTTTCTCCTTCCTCCTTCGCTTTATCTTTCCATTCTCTTCCCATATCTTCTCCTTTCTTCTTCATACTTCCTTCCTTCCATTCCCGCCCTCACCGACCTCTTCTCTGTTTTTCTTCTCCTTCCTCGTGTTTATCTTTTCTTCTTTCTTTTTTGTCTTCCTCTTTCTACCCTTCCCTTTCTCTTTCCCTTTTCCTTTCCGGTCTCCCTTTCCTTTCTTCTCCACCCCTTTTCCTCGTTTCTATAACAGTTATCCACCTGTTCTCGCCTACTTCTCCTTCCCTTCCCTTCTCCTCTCACACTCTCCTCTCTTCTTTATCTTTCTTCGTCTCTCTCTGCTGATATCCCCCTCTTCTCTTCCTTTCCCTTCCTTCCAGTCTCTCCTCCTTCCTTCCCCTCTCCGCCTCTCCCCACTTCACTCATTCCCTCTCTCTGCTGATATTCCCTCCTCTCTTCCTCCTTTCTCCTTTCCTTCCAGTCTCTCTCCTTCCTTCCCCTCTCCCCTCTCCCCACTTCACTCATTCCCTCTCTCTGCTGATATTCCCCTCCTCTCTTCCTCCTTTCTCCTTCCTTCCAGTCTCTCCTCCTTCCTTCCCCTCTCCGCCTCTCCCCACTTCACTCATTCCCTCTCTCTGCTGATATTCCCTTCCTCTCTTCCTCCTTTCTCCTTCCTTCCAGTCTCTCCTCCTTCCTTCCCCTCTCCGCCTCTCCCCACTTCACTCATTCCCTCTCTCTGCTGATATTCCCTTCCTCTCTTCCTCCTTTCTCCTTCTTCCAGTCTCTCCTCCTTCCTTCCCCTCTCCGCCTCTCCCCACTTCACTCATTCCCTCTCTCTGCTGATATTCCCTTCCTCTCTTCCTCCTTTCTCCTTCCTTTTAGTCTCTCCTCCTTCCTTCCCCTCTCCGCCTCTCCCCCACTTCACTCATTCCCTCTCTCTGCTGATATTCCCTTCCTCTCTTCCTCCTTTCTCCTTCCTTTAGTCTCTCCTCCTTCCTTCCCCTCTCCGCCTCTCCCCCACTTCACTCATTCCCTCTCTCTGCTGATATTCCCTTCCTCTCTTCCTCCTTTCTCCTTCCTTCAGTCTCTCCTCCTTCCTTCCCCTCACCGCCTCTCCCCACTTCACTCATTCCCTCTCTCTGCTGATATTCCCCTCCTCTCTTCCTCCTTTCTCCTTCCTTCCAGTCTCTCCTCCTTCCTTCCCTCTCCGCCTCTCCCCCACTTCACTCATTCCCTCTCCTCTGCTGATATTCCCTTCCTCTTCTTCTCCTTTCTCCTTCCTTCCAGTCTCTCCTCCTTCCTTCCCCTCTCCGCCTCTCCCCACTTCACTCATTCCCTCTCTCTGCTGATATTCCCTTCCTCTCTTCCTCCTTTCTCCTTCCTTTTTAGTCTCTCCTCCTTCCTTCCCTCACCGCCTCTCCCCACTTCACTCATTCCCTCTCTCTGCTGATTTCCTTCCTCTCTTCCTCCTTCTCCTTCCTTCCAGTCTCTCCTCCTTCCTTCCCCTCTCCGCCTCTCCCCACTTCACTCATTCCCTCTCTCTGCTGATATTCCCTCCTCTCTTCCTCCTTTCTCCTTCCTTCAGTCTTCTCCTCCTTCCTTCCCCTCACCGCCTCTCCCCCACTTCATCATTCCCTCTCTCT